ATTTTAGTTCTATTCATCTTAAAATATATGGAATAACTCAAAATACAAAAACAAAAGAATACTTAATGGTATTTCAGTACGCTAATAATGGGAGTCTTCATAAATATTTGAGAAAAAATTTTAATAAACTTACATGGCAGATTAAATTGCAAATGCTTAAAAATATTTCAGATGAGTTAGGAGATATTCACAGGGGTGCAGGATACATCCATGCTGATTTTCATAGTGGTAACATTTTGCAAGACCAACTTGATAATGAAAATATACAATCATATATCGCAGATCTAGGATTGTCAAGAAAGAGTGATGAACGCGTTTCAGAAGGCGATATTTATGGAGTTATGCCCTATGTTGCTCCTGAAGTTTTATCAGGCGAGCAGCAGTTTACAAAGGCAGCAGATATTTATGGGTTTGGTATTATTATGACGGAAATTTCAACTGGACAAAGACCTTTTGATGGATGTAAATTTGATATAAAACTTGCAGTTAATATTTGCAAAGGATTGCGACCAGAGTTTGCTCCTGGTACTCCTAAATGCTATATTGAATTGGCTGAGAAATGCATGAATTCAGATCCACAAAAACGGCCTGATGCTTGGGAAGTTTATAGTACAATAGATAGTTGGCTTTATAATATAACTAGTCCATATAGTGATGATGAAATCAAAAAACAGTTCTTAGATGCTGATAAAATTATTAAATCATTACCGATATTAAAGCATCCTGACGAAATATATACTAGCAAAATTATCAGCACAAAATTAATTTCAAATGCCATTAAGGGTATTATTTTTAACTAATATATAAAATTATACGTATTAATAATTTATTAAATTATTTTGTTTACTTAGATTTGTCTCAAGCTGATTCTACTCAAAATAATCTTGATTAACTAATTTTTGAGAGTTTTGGTATGTATGCAAATAATACATCTATTTTACAATTTGTAAGCGATAATAATTAAATTTATATTTTTTAAAATAGGAATAATATATTTGTAACTATGGCTATTGTAGCCACACTCTCACGTGATACAAATCGACCAATCATATACCAATATAACCAAAACTATTATACATAGTATTAAAGATGCAGACATTAGAACATGAAATAATATATAGCATAGCTGTAACTGGGTAGCTACCCAAATTTTATATGTCGCAAGAGAGTAGCTACCTTTGACTTGACAAATATCTGCAGTCACATGATAATTGACATTGTCCAGTATCGCTGTAAAAAGTTACTGTTATGATTGACAGTGAATTATCGGATCCGTATCATTTCACTGACAATAATTTCATCGACAGCTCATTTAGCTAACATCACGCCAAGTGACAATTTACTAAAAATATATACCTAAAACTAATAAAACCCTAACCCTAACCCCATGTGATGTCGGCTAAATGAACTTTCGGTGAAATGACTGTCGGTGAAGTGAGCGGCACCGGATTTTTCTACGTAGCAAAGATCCCATATCGAATATGTATCATTATTTAAAATATGAAAATATGTAAAAATGGGCTGTTTTAATATATCACACCCCATATAATATAAAAAATACGAATACATAGTACTAATAATAAGAAAACGCCAATGACTCGAAATTTGCATTTAGAATCTATTTTCTCTAATCAACCATTTTATTCTTTGTTATTTTGACTTCATGTTACACTTAATCTTATCTGTTATCTGATAAACGTATAATATAGATATATGCAATAAAGTTTTATTTTTTATTATTAAATTAATCAATATTAGGAACATTTAATTTATATTAATATAATACTTAATGAAAAAAAAATGGGCGTCAACTTTTGTGCGAATCTATATTCTCGAATTTAAAATCATTAAAAATAACTAGAATAATAAAATATATGCGGTATTTGTGCTTGTAAAATAAAAATAAAATTTATTTGTTTTGAAAATAAAGTTTAAACTGGCCTGATTCGAAGTATTTTTATTAATGAAAAATTAAAAAAAGTAACTTCTTTCGTTTAAGTAATTGCCCTTAACCCGTTAAATTAATATCATTGTCATAATTAAAGTTAATTATTATATTTTTTTAGTTCAAGCAAACCCATTTACTTTGAAAACTCATAATAACCGTTAAAGGGTATGCGTACATTCTACTAATTCTAATTCTACTAATCCTAATCCTAATTCTAATTCTACTAGTTCTAATTCTACTAGGTTTTGAAAGAAATGAAACTGTAAAAAAAAAAAAAAAAAATTAACAATGGGTTTTGTTAAATCAGAAACAAATGTGACCAAAAAAGAATTAGAGTTTCTAAAAATATATAATTTTCCGGTTTTATATGCCTTTAATAAATAATAAATAAATAAATTTTAGACTATAATCTGCATATTTATACTTTAAAAAAATATATATATATATTCAAATCGATCGAAAGATATTGTTTACTTTTAAATTCTATGAATTTCCTCAATTTAGAAATAGCCGAATTATCTCCAGAAACAACTCTTTTCTCCATGAGCTTTTTTAGCCTTTCGAACAACTCTAAAATATAATTAATTGTTTAAAAATAGTTAAATTCTTTTTTCAATACTGCAATATGCACCCCTTATGACTTAATACTTAAAATAGTAAATAAAAACAAAATACTCAAGGTATCGGTAAACTCGCGATTATATATCTACATAGATGGCTAACCAAACTTCTTTTTTAATGCATATTTTTAAAAATAGTAATGCGCATACATCTTTTGGTTATGATTCTATCGATAAAACATTCCGAAAAATTACCATTGAAAATACGCGATTCTTGTTGGATGCGCGATTCTAACAAACGTTTATAAATACCCTGATGAAAGTTTCTTGAAAATTTCAAAAAAAAAAAAGCATCTAATTATTAAAAAAAAAATAATAATAATATAATAACAGATAATAACGAAACAAAATTAATTACTTGTTTTTTTTTTTTTTTTTTTTTATTGTAAAAATTCTTGTACAAATTTTTGTAAAAATTTTGTAATAATTTTGTAAAAAAAAAAAACAAATTTTGTAAAAATGAGAGCATCTTTCCTACTCACTCTCTTCCTTACGGTCTTTGTTTCTGCGGCACCTGTCGTAGAAATACGAGATGATACCCAAATTACCTCTAACATACTTGCGCCATTTACTATACTGGACAAAACCGCTCAACCCGTAACACGTCAAATTACTTTTAATTTGGCTCCAATACAAATGGCTCCTGATGGATATTCGCGTACTTTATATGCTGTAAATGGTCAATATCCTGGTCCTATGATTCGATGTAATAAAGGTGATCAGCTCGTTATAACTGTTAAAAATGAACTTGGTGTTTATACCACTGTTCATTGGCACGGTTTATTCCAATTAGGAACTACTTGGTACGATGGTGTTCCTGGAGTATCTCAATGCTTGATTCCTCATCAGTCCAATTTCGTGTATAATTTCACCACTGCTGGCCAAAGTGGAACTTATTGGTGGTGAGTATATTTATAAACATATATATATATTTATTTATTTATTTATACTGCATAAATTAGAAACAAAATAAGCTAATAATATATATATATATTTATTTATTTATTTAAGGCATGCTCATTACATGGCTCAATATCTTGATGGCTTGCTAGGCGCTTTGATCATTCATGATCATGAAGATCCTTATTTGACGGCATACGATTATGAGTATGTGGTCACTTTAACTGATTGGTATCATCAATCATCAAGTCAATTATTGAGTCAATTTTTAACACCAGGATATAATGGTTCAAATGTTAGTATATACAGTATTTTATTATTATTTTTATTATCATTTTACGTATTATAAGAATAATAATAATAATAATAATAATATTTTTTTTTTTATAATTAGCCTATGCCCGATGCTGGTCTTGTAAGCGGAAAGGGTCGATACAATTGCTCAGCTGCTCCATCATCCGATTGTAAATCAAACTCCGAGTTGGCTGTTTATAAAGTTACAAAAGGAAAAAAATACAGATTTAGATTAATTAATACTAGGTAACTTTTTATAACTTTGAAATTTATTTTTTTTTATAAACTATTATAAAATTTAATAATCTTTTTTTTTTTTACATAAAAACAGTGCACAGGCTGCTTTCATTTTTTCAATTGATAACCATCCCATGAAAGTAATTGAAGTTGATGGTATTATCGTAAAATCTTTCGAAATAAATCGTATTTCTATGCATGTCGCTCAAAGATATTCTGTAATTATTGATGCAAATAATGATGTCAAGAACTACTGGATTCGTGCCACTTTATCTCCTGAATGCATACCACATTCCAATACAACAATCAATTTTAATTCGGCAATCAATTATAATGTTACTGCAATACTTTCTTATGATGGAGCTGATAATAAAGATCCTGAAACTAATGCATTCACTGATTTTGTTCGTCCATGCAGAAATCTTAATAATAGTTTAATAAAACCCTATTTTGAGAGTAAATTATCTGATAAAATTGTAGACACTTCTTCTTATAACGTAACTTTCGGTACAACAGCTAATAAAGTTAAAGCAGCATTTATAAACAACTCAAGTTATGTTTCGGATTTTAACAGTCCAACTGATATCAAAGTCATTACATATGATATTGATGCGAAAACTTTACCAACAAGCCAAAATATAAAAGAATATGATGATAGTCTCTATGGTGGTGTTGCTGAAATAATTGTGTATAGTAAGTTATGAACATAATTACCTATTTTGATTTTTTGTTATTTTTTAAATATTAACATATTTTGTTATGATTTTCTCTTTTTTTTAGATTCTAATCAAGCTAACCATCCATTCCACTTTGTAAGTATATATATATTTTTTTCATTTCAAAAACAAAAAAACAATTTCAAAAAAGCTCATTATTTTATTAATTATTAGCACGGTCGTACTTTCTACCTCGTGGGAGAAGGAGAAAATGGAACTAAAGTCGACGAGTCTACATTTAATTTAGTTGATCCACCTATACGTGACACTACAGTGGTGCCAGCTGGAGGATGGACTGTTATAAGATTTATCCTTAATAATCCTGGTATTTGGGTATTCCATTGTCATATTGAGGTAAAATTTCTTTTTTTAAAAATTACGTCATAAATAAATAACGATAAGAAATATTAATTAATTATTTAATTAAAAAAAATTTTTTTATAGTGGCACATTGAATTGGGGATGTTAATTCAAACCGTTGAATCACCCAAGGCTTTACAAACCTTAAAAGTACCTGATAACGTTAAAGCCTTATGTAGTAATTATGGCACATAGAGCTAAAACTACTTTTTTAAGAATAATTAATTTATTTATTATTAGTAATAAGCATTTCAAAAAAAAATTTTTTTTTATTATTTAATTTTTTTTTTTTTCAAAAAATAATAATAATAATTTTTAGATTGTTTCATATTTTTTTTCTTTTTGTGATTCCATAAAACTCTCTCATATCACATAATAAAGATTTTTAAAAACTTTTTTTAAAGTGATTGAAATATACAAAATTATCTCTCATCAAATATTTTTTTAAATTTTTTACGCGTGACATCGTTTACGTGATTTATTTATTTGTGTTTAAATCTTCCCTATACTCCTTGTGTTCTATGAATAAATAAAATTACTTCGTGCACTAATTGAAAAGTGATATATTTTATTATACTATTTAAGTTAGTACTATTAAGATTTAAATAACATATATTTTACCTAGTTAATTACCAGTAAGTGCTTTTACAATATCATATATTTCTATATATATAGTTAAAAATATAATTTCTTTAATCAGTGTTGTGTTTTACGAATTACATTATTTATTTCTTGTGCTCTAATAATTCTATGAATAATATATATATTTATTTCATAACGACCTATACAGATAATAATGTGACTACGTAGAAGTATGTAGTTGGTTGGTTGGTTGGTTGGTAGTTAGACCAGAAATTAACTTCCATGAATAGTTTATACTGTATATACCGTACAATTATGTCTTGATACATTAACTATTAAGATGACTAAAATTTTATTTCAAACAGATTCATGTATTATTAAAGTTTAAAGGTAACAGATAAGATTATTTTCTACGTAAAAGTTAACAAAATTATATCGGATTATGAACTAAATATATCTGACAAAAATGTAATTCTCGGATTTTTTAATAATAACTGTAAATCCTTTTTTAATATGACTATCTTCAATAAATAATTTGTGTAATAATCTTTACTTTTTAAGTTTTACTCTAGTTTAAAAATCCAGATTGGGATCATAATCATACATGTTTCTTACGTATGGAATATCGTTTGTTGAAATTACAGAATTATCTGTTATTTCTGCTTTAATGTACAGTACGTCATATGCTTAAATACGTACGTACGTACGTACGTGCTGTGAATGTGATACGTTACGTCAAGTCATTTGAACTATTAGAGCCATCGCCGCATATGTGCACAGATTCCCCCTGCTGCGGAAATGACAAAATAGTTACTAAAATGGTTAATATAGTAAGTATATGATCAAAAAAGACCCCTATCCCTTCTGAAACGGACAACCCCTACATTTTCACGTGATGTAGTTAAAATAAAGTTCGATACCTGGAATACAGGCCACTTTTCTTTTTCGTTCTTTTAATGTACTAAACATGCATGCATAACAATTTTTTTTTTTTTTTTTTTTCTTCCACTTTATCAGAAATTAAAATAAAATAAAAAAAATTTTTTTACGCACATATTTGCTGCGTTATTTTAACGACATTTTAACGATATTAACGATAATTTAGGAAAAAAAAAAAAAAAAAAAATTTTTTTTAACGTCTAAAAATCAAAACATTTTTAATATATCAAAATGGAATCTGAACAACCCATTACTAGTCCAATGTTTACAAATTCAATTATGATGGAACCCTCGAAAAAACTTAATGGTATTACATCGATTGTACGAGATCCATCAAGGTCTTCAGTAGCTGAACTTAGAAGATTATCTAGTATGTCTATAAAAAAAGATTTTTCAGATTTACAAATTCCAACAATAACAGAAAATGCTGAAGATGTTACTGGTAAAAAAAATTTTTTTTTAATGTAACAAAAAAAAAAAAAAATGATTAATTTTGATTCATGCGATGATAGATCAAAAATTTATTTCACAAAATACCTTTTTTATAATAGGTCTAAAAGGACGTATTCGTCTTCAAAAAACTGGTGAAAGACGTAATTCACGTAATTGGATGGATCTACAAAGAAAAAATATTCAAGCTTATGAATATTTGTGCCACATTGGAGAAGCTAAAGAGTATGTAAATTTATATAATAATATATAATAATAAATTATAATAAACGTAGTAATAAAAAAAAATAATAATAATTAATATAATAACAATAATTATAATTAATTACTATATTATTATTATATTATTATTATTATAGTTATTATTATAATTATTATTAAAATCATCATGATTATTATGATTATCGTTGTTCTTATTATCATTAAACAATAATGATTTATAAAATAATTAATTATTAGATGGATAGAAACATGTATTGCAGAAGAGATCGATCCAATTATCATGTTGGAAGAAAGTCTTAGAAATGGAATCGTACTTGCTAAACTAGCCAAATCTATCGAACCATCAGTTGTTAGAAAAATTTTTACAGTAATTATTTTTAAAAATAATTATACATTTATAATATTTTTTTCTTAAATCATGTTTTATTTTTTTTTTTTATTTATTATTGTTTATTGTTAATTATCTAGTCGCAAAAATTACAATTTCGTCATTCGGATAATATCAACTTTTACTTTGCTGCTATACAAAAAGTTGGGTTACCTAGGGTACGTTTTTTTTTCTTTTTCTGCCTACGTTCTTTTATACTTATTTAATCATTATTATGGTTTTATTAAATAAATAAATTAATTAAATATTTTTTTTTTGTAATTCTTTAGATTTTTTGGTTTGAACTAACTGATTTATATGAAAAGAAGAATATTCCTAAAGTAATTTATTGCATACATGCTTTAAGGTATCGTTATTCACCTTTTATAAATAGCACACTAATATTTTATTCAAGATATACGCTAATATATATATATATATATATTTAAATAATAAGTCATCTATTATCAAGAAGAGGTCTTACAGCTCGGATTAAAAACTTGATTGGAAAATTAGAATTTACAGGTAAATCATTAAAGTTGAAAAAAAAAAGTTTTAATCATTTATCGAAATTTTCAAAAATTTCATTCAAAATATTCATATATATATTTTTTTGAATATAGATGAACAAATACATATTACACAAAGAGGATTGGACGCATCAGGAATAATTATGCCAAGTTTCGCTAATGTTGGAAATGTATTGGCTGCTGAATTAAATGAGCCACCAATAATGGAAATGGCGAGTACTATTGAAATGTATGAACCAATTGTAGAAAAAGTTTCTGAAGAAGAGAGTAATGTATTAATTTTATATGTTGATTTTTTTTCTTTTTTTAATAAAATTAATTAAATTATATAATTTAAATTAATTATTTCAATCTTTTTTATTTAATATTTTTTATTTATTTAGAAAGGGCAAAATTTTGGGTCGAAAACCAAAATTCTATTGTACAATGTCAAGCAATTGCACGTACTTATCTTGCAAGAAAACATTTACTGGAAAGACGTGCTTTACATGAATATTCTTTGCCTTTTATAGTTCGTCTTCAATCACAGATTAGAGGATGGTTAGTACGTACAGAATGGAATCAACGGTTAAATCAAATGGAAAAATTAGAAAGATGGGCTGTAAAAGTATGTTCAATTTATTATCTATAATATTATTTAATTTTCTTCTTTTTAAATTATATTTATATGCTGTAAATGGTCAATATCCTGGTCCTATGATTCGATGTAATAAAGGTGATCAGCTCGTTATAACTGTTA